TCAACAAGGAGAGGTATAATTGAATAAACACTACTGATCTGTGTCCTGTAAGTTTGGCGTTTTCGTCGTACCTGCATTCTTTCTCTGGTAAATACTACATTTTCTATAGCAGAAGGCTTGAAAGACAAATTGTTGATTGGTAGAAATGAGACTACTACAAGGTTAAAGAGGCCATTTTGCACTAATGGCGGCTACTACATGTACATAGTAGCGATTTTATATAGCATAAGACAGAAGAACTTTGTTGCACAACAGATGTAACGGGTACAACGTATGGCAAAGTTACATACATAGTTGGTGATGCTAACAATATCTAACTGTTCTAAGAAGCTGGTCTACTTTCATATATAACAGTAAAGACACTAATAATACTAATCTAACTCTATATACGTCTGAAGTGATGATCCTACTGCTTTATGATGCACTTTACGTGAAATAATCATTATATGTTTATTATGCCATGGAGGATAATAATCCAAACCAACAGTCTGTCTATGTCATTGATCTTCCATCGTAAGCCAAACCAGTCGAGCGTGTGGGACAGTATCAGAGTTGCAGGAAAATATTGATCATTTCGTCATGCCCCCGGGTCTATACTTCAACCCCAGGTCGTGCCTGGTATCTAATATTCAGAAGGTATAAACGCTTCTGACAGGTATAATCCTGGAGTAATTACATAACGACACAGGGCTAAGCCTGATGTGTACCAGTATCGACTGTCCAAATTTCCGGCCGACCCTGAGGCCTCCTTTGGTATGACTGACCCACAACTCACTGTGCGGACATGTATCTCGTGTGGCGGGTCACAGGTGCCTGGGAGTCTGTATCTAGAACCGTGTTACATCAAGAACCATGCTCAGTCGCGGTTCAGGGTAGTCAACGCGTATCCAGAACCGTTCCTGTGACAAATTTACGTTCTCGGTCTTGGATACGCAGAGACTATACAAACCGTGCCTGTTTCTAACCCTGACTACTTAGGCATATGACTAGATAGGCACGGTTCTGGACACAAGTCTGTACCATATTTACCCTAGATCTCGGAAAACCATAAAGGATGTCTTAAACGAAATAAAGATAATGGAAACTTATTGGCACAAACTGACGTATACACCCATACTTTGCAAAAACTGGTACCGATTTTTTTATTAAAATCGTATCAGCGCTGCGATAAATATTTGAAATAGAAGCTGTCTAGTTTATATCCATATTATATCTTTCTTTGACCAGGCGTAATACAGGCATGAGAAATGCGTTTTGCTCTAGATTGAAAAGCTCTTATTGCTTATTACTTAGAGGTCTTGGAAAAACTTGAAAGATAAACAATTATCATTCAAACAAAATCAGAAGTAGTCCAGTTTAAGCTTCCCATGGATCTTTGTAAGAAAGCAGGCGTAATGCAAACACGGAAAACGCATTTTGTTCAAGTTTGAAAAACTGTTATTGCCTGGGAGGTCTTTGACACTTGGGCTTGAACGAGGACATACAGGTACTGACCTGCTAGAAGATGACGTGCTTTCCAGCACCCCTGGGGCGACTGTGCCGGATCATCAGTCGGATTCCGGCTTTCACGGGCGTTTCATCCCTTATATCCGATACGCCTCAGGCCGGCGGGACGACAGGGTGGACGTCTCCGCCCTGCCTCCAACACAGTCGTCTCTGCTCTGCTTCCAACTCCTAGACTTCCTTCTGATCCAGATGGAGAAACTGCTCTTCTCCACTTCTTCTGCCACTGCTCGAACGAACTGGGACTGGGCTTACCCCCTAATCTGAAAGTCTCTGCATAGACGCATCAGAGATGTACAATGTACCTGCAAAGCCACGGACCCCCACCTCCACTGGGTAGAGGTGGGTCCTCCAACCGTTCTGTCTGCAATGCAGAGCTAACTCCTCGTACTTCAGCTTCTTCCGCTCATGTGCGCACTGAATGTTCTCCTCCCAAGATATGGTCAGTTCCACTATGACCACCGACTTCTGATCTGCTGACCACATGACAAGGTCGGGTCTTAAAGGTGTCTCACATGTCTTCCGGGAAGCGAAGTTGTCTGTCTAAGTCTACCAGAAGCTCCCACTTCCCTCTGCTGAGTGGACCACCGCCAATGTTGTTACTTCTGGGGGCTGCTTCCTTCGGCCCCTCGTCTCCAGGTGTATCGCCCCTGCTGGAGTGCGGTTTTACAGTTTGACAAGATGTGCTTGAGGTCTGCTCGTTCCAGGTCACACAGCAGACAGGTTTCTTCGTTCTTGAACCATCTTCTGACATTCTGGGGTGTGAGGAGGACATCATATACGGCTCGTAAGAGGAAGCTCAGTCTAAAGTTCTGCATACCCCATAAGTCACTCCATGTCAACTTCCTTCCTACAGCACCGTCCCAGTTCAACCACGCTCCCTGTTGCTGCTAGCCCACTGCGGCCACTCTCCTCTTTTCCTCCGCCATCCTTCTCACTTCTTGGGTCACGAGTTGTCTCCTCTCTCTGGGGTTGGCACTTGACCACCTGTGTGATCTCTCTCCCCAGCCCAATGGAAGTTAGTGGCAGACTTAGCATGTTGTCGCCAAACAGTGCGGCAGTAGACAGACATTTTGGGACGCCCAGCCAGCGGCGGAAGTGGAAATAGGCATTGGCTTTCCTATCAATTTGGTCCACAACTGACAAGGAGATGCTGTAGGTTTTTAGAGGCCACTTTAGTCTTGGGAACAGAATAAACACGCACCAAACCTTGAGCCTTCCTGGAAGTTCACACTCATCTATACTTTTAAGGCCTCTAACGGCTTGCTCCATCGTTTCTGACCCTCTCTCACCATCTTTCAGACTCTTCACAGGTTGTTCCTGTAGGGTTGGGATGGTTTGGTCATTGACTGTGAAAGTTCTTGATTTGGCTGGTTCTTGATTTGGCTGGTTTGAATTTCATCCCAGCCCAATTTGATAGAAAGATTTTAAAAAATAATTATCATTGCCAAAATGTCAAAATTAGTCCATCTTAAGCTTTCCATAGAGCTTTGTAAGAAAGTAGGCGTAATGCAAACATGTGAAATAGATTTTCTTTAAGTTTGGAAAACTGTAATTGACTGGGATTTCCGGACACTTTGGCTTGAAAGATACAACGTTTTATCATTGCCAAAATGTCAAAAGTGATCCATCTTAATCTTTCCGTATCGCGTTGTAAGGTACGTGCACTCATGTTGGGATTCCGAATGTTCCAAACCGCTAAGCTAATCAAGAATGCTGAAAGCTAGCAGATGCAAGCCATCTATCTTCGGCTGAAGGCCAATTACTCAACGATTATCACCTTGAAATTATCTCTCGGCACAGCTTTCGCCAAGTGTGCTGATTGATGTGTGTGGGTGTGTCTCGCATTTTGTAGTTTGGCACAGAACCACCAAAGTCTGCAACCATTTTTACGTGTCGCCAAGAAGAAGACTGTAGTGATATAAATCTGTAAGTTACGTGAGCTAGTTAGATATTTGAAATACCCAGAATCAGAATAAATATCATAGTCCAATCCGAGCTTAGAAGGATGTTGAGAAAAATGCTATAGCTGCTTTTCTTGCTTTGTGTCATCCATTTCTTTATCCTTACCTCTAGAAGCTGTCATATTTAACGACCAATCACCTAACGTGAGGAATTGACGTAGATAGGGATAAACGCACCTTGATTCGTGGAAACAGGAGTTGAAATGGTTCTCAATCTGAATGCAATGCATTGGCTTCACTATTTGCTTATCTCAGGCTTCATCATCTTTTTCTTGCTTATGACAGTGGTGTTTTACATTCTTCGCAAAAAATATCAGATGAAAGTACGTTTAGAGAACGAAATATAGAGTAAATGGGTCCTGAATATGCATGAAATAAAATCCAACACAATGGAAAAGGAACACTTGTTTTACCTTTTAACATGTAACTATCAACACATATGAACTTTCATGATCATGTTTGATGTTGTTATGAGGGGAAAGAAAATTATTTCAGCAGTTTGAACATCTTGAACACGTCTCATTAAATTCATAAATTTTCCACGTGCATGTTGCGTGATCCTAATTTAACCCCATGACAATTGCACATCACACAACCGTAGATCACAGGAAGACGGATATAGATTAATGCATTTGACCTCTGCTCTATACGTACATGTTGATCACATGGCCTAGCTGCATATGTACATGTAAACTAGGAATGCTGGCAGTCTAGTACACATAAGTGCTAGTCTTCTTGCATTTTATTGTGTATTGACGCCGTTGTGCCTAGGTTACCTTCTCTTTATAGAGAACTGTAAATCGAAGAGTCGACGTTAAGCAATAACACGATTCGATTCATCATTAGGAACAACCATAAACCTTACCCCCTACACATATCAGTTTGACAAAACTCGTAATTTGAACACTAACGGGGCTCTGTGTCCCTGTGATCTTTCTGAATTGATTCAACCGTTTTACAAGTATTGACTTCGTAGTTAATCCTAACAAAGAGAGGGCTACTAGACGTTTCTTCAATGATTCTGAAGCAAAGTTCGGATCTAACGACTTTTGTGATCTGCGAACTATAACTTTGTCTGAAGAATATGCTAATGTGACAGTTTGCACACATTTAGTCCAAATGGCGACGACGTCGCTATTTGTCGTAGATGTCCATAATTTGTACGCGTGAATGTTTCCAACAATGATTCTATAAACAAAGTTCAGGTCTGCCGACTTTTGCGATATGAGACCTAATACCTTTGTCTGAAGAATATGCTAATTTGCAATTGGCAGTCTACATACATTTAGTCCCAAAGGGGTGACAAAGCAATTTCTCTTAGATGTCCATAATTTGTACGTGTAAATTTTTTCAATGGCGTTGTCTATGTTGGTAATTGAATTTGTTTTATTGTTATGCAGATCTTCTCAAGTCAACATTGACCTGAAGACATGGTGTGTGCAAGTGGTGACACATCAAGCATATGAGGTAACTTTTGTGAGTAACATTGGGCCATCTAATTGCACAAAGAAGGTACGCATCTATCTCAGCTGAATGCGAACGTCTTGGAGCTAAATTGAATCTACTACATTGAAAAGCAATGGACTCGAGTCCTACACGTGAATTACCCCTTATAGTGTTATGAGGATCGACGCGGAAATCCCACGGAAATGGCTTCATCTGTTGGGGAACTTCTTCTACTGATCCTTTTGACACTCTACTTTTGCGGTAGGACCTATGCTCAGCGATGCCCACCGGAGTGTCTTTGCAGTCCCCCTGACAACAGTGTGTACTGCAGCGACCAGCGACTAACTAGTCTCCCGGTCAACATCCCGAGATACGTTTCTATTCTCAGTCTACACAGGAACAAGATTAAAACGTTGGGTCGTGGCCAATTCCGATCATTGACAAACCTCAACACCTTAGAGCTCAGTGCTAATGAGATATCGGAAATCGAGCCTGGCACATTCATTGGACTTGGAGATCTGAGAACCTTGGAGCTGAATAATAATAGACTTACAAGTATCGATGGAGCAATATTCCAAGGCTTAACTCGCCTCAACAATCTAGGATTGAGAAACAACCCTCTCTATTGCCTTCCTAAGTATGCATTCTCGTACGTACCCTCATTAAAGTTTCTAGACCTTGGAAGACTGTTCAAACTTCAGGCTATTTCGAAGAATGCTTTTGCAGGATTGAAGAATCTTGTATATCTTAACATGACGGAGTGTAACCTCGTGACGGTTCCACATCTAAAGCACTTAGAAAGCCTGGAGAACTTGGACCTATCCAGAAACTCCATCGACAAGCTGGAGACTGACAATTTGGCGGAGCTGAAAGGCTTAGGGAGTTTGAGGATGCCATCGAATCTTTTATCTGAAATCGAACAAGATAGCTTTGAAGATTTGGGGTCACTTAGGGAGCTGGATCTATCGGACAATTACCTAACGATTCTTCCGTTCGGGCTCTTTTCTAATATGAGAGCCCTGACCAAAGTTAACTTGGGAGGAAATCCGTGGAACTGCACTTGCGAAGTCACGTGGCTCGTCACCTGGTTGCGACGAAAAACTCGGAGTGACCCAACCAGAGAGTCCTGTGGAAGATGTCAGTCTCCCTGGAGGTTCCGTGGGAAGTTACTTTGCGATGTTCCGGTGACTAAATTGAAATGTTCCCCGCCACAAATCACTGACGTGCCGAGGGCCCTGAATGTGACAGCCGGGGGGAACGCCACTCTCCAGTGCAACACCGGCGATTCAAAAGAGACGGCTGTGAACTGGATATCGCCGAACGGTACAATGATTCGAAAAGGTTCTTTTAAGGTATGATATTTTATAATTGTGCGTGAAGGCTCATCTGCGTCGTTGTCAAAGTTTAAAAGCCAAAAAGGTTTCGCATTATCAATTTCGATGTCAAACATTGTGTGAAATAGAATATTTTTCAAAGTTTATTGCATGCTCTTGCAGTATGAGTACATGAAAATAAAAAGGATGGTCAACGGATAACAGTATACATGTAGCATGTGACTACTCTCGTATAAATTTTGACACGAGTGTTGGGTTAGAAAGACCAAAACTTGAAAATTGGTATGGTGACTCTTTCTTTTGAGTTGAAAGTTTTTCAACTATGGTCGATCATGTGAAAAGGATGATCCTTTGTTATGCCTTATGTTTGAGCGGCCACTGAATCATTCATCAGACTCGTCATCCTTTTCATCTTAGCTCCACGTACGGACGTTGTTGAATTGCAAAAATCGATATAAAAAGGCTGTGCAGGTTCCGGTGAATTGATTGTTAACTTTACTACGTCACAATTTATTCAAGTATTGATATCCCATTGCATTTCAGCTAAAGGTCAAGTTTTCTGGAGGCCAAAGTTTGAACTTCGCCAGAGTCTCAACATCTGATGCCGGAATTTACAGATGCGTTGCGAGGAATTCGGCAGGAACGACGACTTTAGACACCATTCTAAACGTCACGGGAAGTGTGCTTCCGATCTTCCGGGCGACAGAAATACCTATAAACGGTGAAGAGCCAGAAGACGACAACCTGTGCCAGAGGGCCTTTGACAAGGCCACTTCAACTGTGAGCGGTGACTCGCAGATTACGTGGCAGCGGGACTCCAAACCAACGCCCGGAAGGACTAACGAAACCTTTAAAACGGCGGAAGAACCTCTCCCAACTGTCTTCGAACCTGGCTTTGACATGACGAAAAATACAGATAAACACTCTTCCAAAGTAGATCACCAAAAGTACATCATCGCATCCATAGTGTCTGTGATATCGTTTGGTTTGCTGGTATGGCTTGTGTTCTTCCTGTTGCTGAGATGGGATTTCTGTTGCCCTGCCTCTAGATTCTTGGCAAAGAGGCGAGAACATAGAACAAAAGCTCAGAAAGACGACGATCATTACAGGACACGATGTTGTGGACTACGTTGTTGTCTGCATCCACCAGACAAGGATGCCCCCATCGAAATCCCAGAGCCCTTGCAAGGCTACCCGGCACTGGAGCTTACCAAACTAGAGCAGGGAAAATTGAACACCATAGAGGTCTATAGCCAAGCAGAACTAATAAAGGACACGAAGGAGTTCGTAGATGTCGATTCACTTAAAAGTGGCTTAGACATAGACTGTGTGAAGATCAAAGACACTGATCTAAGACAACTGAAACTACATACTCCTGAAAAGATTGTCAGTATACAGCGTGAGAAGACATTGGAGAGTTTTCACCCCATAACATCCTCGGATATAGAACATTCTCGCACACTCCACAAGAGTCCTGGTACGTCCAAGCATATTTACACTCCTGTGAAAATACCAGACTTCCATAGAAATATCACTGATGTCTACATTATACGGAAAGATCCTGATTCTAGCTGCATTGTTCCTCAGGTATTGGATGCTTCGGTGAAGGAAACCGGCGTTTAGAAAGTTGTGCCATATTGATGACCACACACTGTGGTTTTATTGGGTCCCATGTGGTCCACGGCAGAAAAGAGCTTGTACGATTTACCTCTAGACATTCGTCTCAAAAGAGATTCGCACAGATTCACAAGTGTTGCTACAAGTTCGTTTGTGAGCAATAATGTCCCAATACTATTTAACCGTGATCATTTTACTAAGTTCTTACCATTAAGTGCAATGTCAGATTCTAAAAAATATTCTCTATGGATTAGAGAATAAAACTTATGATCATCCACTCCAACGACGAGTTGTTAAGAATGAATGTTGATATCTACCATTCGTGCAGCTGGTTTTAACATCAAATTAACTAGATTATATTAAACATTAAATTATATTTATCTGGATGGAAATATATAAGGAGATCAAGTTGAAAAAAAATGCCATCTATTCCATTTTGTGGCATGCATCGGTAATGTCAGCACTTGCACTCAATAAACTCGTTGATTTCAACCTACTACATGTCTTGCCATCTTTAGACATACACTGTTTATACGACTATGAGAAGTCGGTATTTTTAAGCCATGTCACACATGGTCGAATATGGCCTTCTGAACACTGCTGAACTCTGTCCAACCATGGTTCGTATTAGGTTGGAACAATATCAGCTGTAGCATTCGGGGAGGTTGGCTACTGTTTGGCTGCGCCAGCCGAAATGTTAAAAAAAGTTCAAAATAGTACAAAATACTAGCTGTACATGGGAGATTTGGCTATGGTTGGTTAGTGGTTGGGAGTAGGTCAGCAGTGGTCGGGGCGTAGTTGGCAGTCAAATTTGACTCAAACTTGACTCGAAAGCTAGGGGTGGCATAAATCTGGTCAGACCACTGCGCCCAACCTACCGCCAAATTTGGTTTGTTGGTGGCCCGGGGAAGGTCCTGAATGTGTGACAGGGGCGGCTGTAGATTGGTAGCTCAGAGTACAAGGCTATCTGTGTGACAAAGACAGTCCCATCTCTGCTGGCGAGACGCGGCGGGTGAATCAGCGGCGAAGAATAGAACTAACTGAGCCCCACCAGGGACTGAATGTTGGCTTGTTCCTATTCTTCACGTCAAAAGGCGAGGCAAGAATGCCACATAGAAGAATGATGTGCATAATCTAAGTTGAAAACACGCGCTAGTACTTTGCCTTTCTTCCAGATACCGGCATTGACCGGTTGGTCACAGGTCGTACATTGCTATTCCCTGGATATGCATAGACAGGATGTCCTACTTGGAACTGCACTTTACACCTAGAGGAGGTCGCTAAAAGGGTCTTATGCTTGAACTTCAAGCTTAAGATGCATCACTATGTCTCCTAGTTTGGCAAGAATATCATATACATCTTCAAACAGATGTTTTGAACGTTTTTGTAGCAAAATTACATAAGAAGCAAACCTATAAAACGCATGGCTTCTTCTTCCTCGTTCAGGGTGAAATGTTTGATAAATGTTCATCCACTTTACTCTCGAGGTCTCCCTCGCCTTTTACCGACGCCATTTTGGTTAGTTGTCCATTAGCTGTGTCCTTTGAAGCCTCGCTCAGCGCCAACACAATATCTACTATGTATAATTGGATAACATTAAGAGACGACAAATGTAGGATCGCGCAATTGCCAGATAATTGAATCCAAGCTGCCGTCTCTTTGAGACAGTGATGAATGAACTAGCGGCTGTTCTTCAGGTACTTTGTACATCATGAGTAGCGAAGCGGGAAATTTCTGTCTGCTTCCCTCACTGCTACACAGTAGGAAATTAAACAGGAGGTTTATAGTCTTTCATACTCTTTAGAACTGAATGATGCTTCGTATGGTCGTAATTCAAGGACCTGAATGACGTAATAACATACTCAGTCATCGGCAAAGAACCTCATTATCAAAAGATGTTCAACGGACCAAGTAGCGTATCTATAGTGTTCTGTTCATCATTTAAGCCACTATAACCTAGGTAAATAGTTGACTGAAACATTTATAACATGAGGCAGCCAAATCGTAATGCAGCTGACTTCACCAGGATCCAGGATTTCAGGCCCTTGAATTGTATCGAGAACTTTCCATGAAGTCTTATCTATGCCAGCATATGATATACATGTAGTCCAGTAAAGCCCCTGTCATATAGATATAGCTATAGATATGGCCTCCAGAACACTGCCAAACTTCATTCAACCATCTTAGGAGTAGTTCTATCTGGAACGAGGTCGACTGTGGTTGGCTGGTGTTTGGTAAAGTCGGCTATCGTTCGACGGCACCAGAGAGACAAGCCGTCTCAATCTTTACGTAGACGGCAGACATCTGGATTATCTTCGGCGTGCTTTTAGACGAGTAAAAAACCTAACATACAAGACTTAAAATAGATAAGGTTTGGGGGCAAGACCGCTTCTTGGGCTTCGGCATGCCATTTGGAGTTAGTAGCGCTCCAGTTACGTTCCATGAGTCCGTATGCTTCATGTATCCATAGCTAGCAGTTTAAACCCATACTGTTTTTGATAATACTTTTGGCTTAAATAACCAGCCTGGGGCAGGGCTCTATGTGTGGATCTCCTCGACGAATGTATGATCAACACGTCAAGACGATTGAATCGCTGCTGACGACCACATGCGACGCTCACGTCTGACGTATCGTTTATGATTTCTTCCGCATCAATCTTATCAGAAGCATAAAGTCTCCGCCGTTGGCCATTAATGAATAGGATATGTACTTTTTTTATTGATCGTTTACGGTGACTGATCCTAATTTCCAATCAGCCTGAAGGCCAATGTAATACACACCGGCTTTCCCTCTTTTATCGTCGATCATCTTATGTTTCGGCAGCCGAACTATGTTGGCTTTAATTCGTTATTTTCGCTTTAATCCCCTGAACGTGACACAGGTATCAAATCTATACATTAAAAGGTTTATATGAAAGAAAACTGCTCCCCGAGGCAAAGCCCAAACGCCTTTCCGAAATAAGATTACAGCAAAGGTGCGCGTGATGTGGAAACCAATCAAGATACATTTCCATCCTTGGGGAGGGTGGGGGCCTTGCTAAATGTGACAAAATATCCAATGTGACAAAATGCTAAATGTGATCGCTAAATGTGTCAAAACGGCATAAACTCCTATTCCAAATAAGATTACAACACAGGTAGTATTCCAGAGTGGAGCGGGAGGGGGCAGCTCGCTGAATGTGACAAAATACTAAATGTACTTAGTACTACTAAATGTGACAAAATTTCTAAACTCCTTTTCCAACATAAGATATTACTGGGCAGGTGCACGTAATATGAAAACCAAGCAAAACACTAATTATATTCCAGAATAGAGGGGGCTCGCTGAATGTTATGATATACTCAAATAACTTACTAAATGTGAGAAAATTCCTTAACTCTTTCTCCAAAAGAATATGTTACTGCACAGGTGCTCGTGATCTGAAAACCAAACAAAACACTAATTGTATTCCAGCTTGGGGGAGGGTGGGTACCCCGCTAAATGTGACAAAATATCATAAGGAACCAATGCATTTACTGTCTTTATTGACTCCTGTAAATAACCGACCTTTGTCCTATAAAATGTCAATCCTAAGTGGGTTTGCCAGCGATTTGCCGGGTAACCGTGATTAAGTCTGATATTGTTAAAAGGAATTATTTTCCTTCCGAGCCATCTTGTCTACAGATCGGACACAACATTAACCCCTCTGACATCCGCCAGCTCCAGCTATTTATCTTGTCCACCCACTCAGACTGTTCTTCATAAGCCACTACTTTGCTTCCGCGTAGAGTCAAGAGGTAAACTCTCTGGTAATTGTGCTCGGTTGAACTAGACGTGCCTGTACATCACCCCTACCTGATGTTGGCTTTATGGCGAATACGAGGTGTGGAGAATGAGCTGGCAAGTCGTTCTTGGTGAGCGACGACGGGGTTGCGAGTAGGGAGTGCCCCGGCGGAATTGCGGAGGAAAGGGGAATTGAAAACCAAGGTGCTCTGTCACGGACAGCATCAGGGTGAATTATCTCCTTCGTGTAAGGGCATTGTCTGCTAGAGAAGTTGTATTCTCTGATTGGTGAGGAAACTGACTCGGCAAAAGAATTGTTACTTGAACGTTAGTTATCCTTTGCAGGTAAGGCCACAGCAAGTAATTTTTATATAAATAATTTTCGCCTGATTTGGGGGAAACAAGAAATTTTGTTGCCCTTTGACAGTGATCAACCTGCCAAAAAGGGGCAAATATGTATATTGCCATGCTGGAATGTGGATGGCAGATAAACATGAAGAGAGGTGACAAAACAAGGTTTGTTCTTTTGTCTTTTACTTTGATGCAATATACAACATTAAATCTTTCTCGAAATGATCTTTTTCCAGTGAAAATATGAAAACATAACATCACAACAATGCATTCTAGCACTACAAACTCTGTGATACTCTTGTAAAACTTTGCTTCACTCCCTCACCATGCTAGTGATCTACTCCCTCGTTCTCATTTTTTCTAGAAAACCCCCTGATGACGATGAGTCAGCCAGTCGCTGATATCTTTAGCGACTACCCATGCAATAATGCAATATAAATGCCTTGTAGTCTGGGCACAGCTTTGATTAAGAGTCCTAAAGGTTCCACATTTCTGCTTAATTTTCCGATATTTGACACTCCGTGTGGACTACTTGTCAGCTTTCTGACAAAGGTATTGTCGACTTGACACCTCCAGTCTCTGAGATGAAAGTGCTTGACGTCATGACAGCGATATGGGAGCTCATAAAGACGCACGGAACGATTTTTTATGAAGGACAGATTTACTAACGGCTGCTAATATTCCTCAGTCCATGGATATTGTTTTGTGTCTATCGTTAAAATGCAAACAAAGCAGGTAGTACCTTCCGGACAAAGTACTGTTTTGGGATGTCTGTATGTATTTCAGCCTCAGCAGCAAGACTTTTGGGCCATGTACGTGTGGTCCCGGCCGGGTTCGAGTCCTGACATGCCACCGATCTTGAGCCCTTGAGAAAGGCACTTTACACGACTTT